TGTGTGTGTGTGTGTGTGTGTGTGTGTGTGTGTGTGTGTGTGTGTGTTGGGGGCCAGAGTGGTTTAGGGGAACCTGCTAGGCAGCACATTTCCCTGGGCCCTGACATCTGATCCTTGCCTTTTTCTGCTCCTAGAGAAGAATTGGAAAGAGTGGAAAATGCTGTGGAATGTCCTGCTGTTCTGTGTTTTGCTATCGATGAGTTGCTGCCTGGGTTTGGTGTTCTCCAAGTGGTGAGGGTATTGGATGCCTAGGTCCTGGTCAGGACTCCCAGAGGGGAGGGGAGAAAAAGTGTGGCTTGTACCATAGGGCCCCTAGGCAGAGAAATTCTGGTTTTCTTAGAGGACAGTGTATCCTGGGGTGGAGAGCCCAGATGCCTTCATGTCACCACCTTAACTGTGTCATTGACCTTCTTTCCCTGGCCTGAATCAGCTGCCTCTGTCAAAAGTTTCTGCCACATTGGGTCTCTGAAAGGATCCCTGATCCCTCCAATAGCAAGAGCATGCAGCCTTGGGGAGAGGTGAGTAGAGGGGACCTGATAGCCCGGCTTCCTAGTCCATAAACTTAGAATTTGAATTCCCCCTCTCTGAACTACCAAGCTCCCTATGCCTGTCATATGTTGGGCCCCAGTGGGGAAAGGGAGGAATGGCCATTTGGTGGGGGAGGAAGGAACGAAGGCCTCACTCTTCACTGGTCTTCCCTAGGAGGTTCCCCAGGCTCCGCCTCCCAAGGACGCCCTTTTCCTAGACGTGGAAGAAGTAGAGACTCCAATGTCCGCACCCCCCCAGCCTCCAGAGGCTCCCATCCCATTTGACTCTGGATATGAGAAACACTTTCTGCCCACACCTGAAGAGCTGGGCCTTCTGACCCTGCCCAGACAACAAAACTTCACCTGAGGAGTCCTGGACAATGAAACTCTGTCAAGAGGGTGGATCCGTGATGTAGAGGAACCAAGCCCAGGATTAAGACATTGCCCTGATTCTGGGGGGACTAAGTCTCAAAACCATAGAAGATCAAACCTAGAAGGGGCTTAGGAACTGCTTTGTCTGCTCCATCTCCTATCTTACAGCAACGGAGACTTAAGGGGGCAAGGATGAGAATGGGAGAAGATTTGCCCAAAGCCATACAGCAAGTTAGAACCAGGGCTGGGACTCAATCTTGTCCCCCACCCCACCCCACCCAGTTCCTTTCTGCTCTGGGGGACAGCCATGGGAAGATCCTGCTGTGTTCCTCTATCATTCTGAGGATGTGTGGAGAAGAGCACATGATGTCCTGCAGTGAGCCAGAGAGTTTAGGGTAGAAGGGACCTCAGAGGTCCAATAGTCCAACTCCCCGCCTCATACAGAGCAGGAAACAGAAGTGCAGAGAGAGAAGTTCCTCCCTCAAGGGAGCAGAAGGAGAACTCAACTAACACCTGAGCTCCCTGACACTAAACCCAGTGCTCTCCCTTTTGCGCTACACTCCTTGTTCATCCTGCCGACATATATGAGCAGGGGATGCAGTCAAGTCTCTCCCCTTCCCCCAAATCTTGAATGGCCTCCCCACTGTCTATGGAACCAAGTCCAAACCTTTCTTCCTGGCATTCAAGGTCCTGCTGTCTTGTCCCAGCTCTCTAGCTTTACCTCCCACAGCCCCGCTCCGTCCTCTCCAGTGCCTAACAGCCTACGTAGAGCTCACCATTCACAGCTGAAACACACCACCTCACCATCTCTCCAGGTTTTGGTTCCCTCAGTTCATTCTGCCTTTCTCCCCTGAACTCTAATCCATCCTTTCAGACTCAGCTCACATGGCACCTCCTCCAGGAAGCCTTCTCTGCAGACCTGATCCCCTCCCTCCTTTGCTCTCCCTAGACTCCGTTTGTACCACTCTCACTAAAACAGATTATATGTCACCTTGACCTTGGATTCTAGCTACCCGTGTATCTATCTTATCTTAGACTGGGCTGCAAAATCCCTAAGGGTAAGATCTGGGACTTCTCTGTCCTTGCCTCTTCTCTGGTGTAACCCAGAATAAGAGGTACTTAAGAACAGAGAATATCAGAGAGTGAGAGCTGGAAGGAACCTCAGAAACCTTCCAGTCCAACTCTTTTATTTTACAGATGAAGAAACTGAGGCCTAGCATAGAAGTTAAGTGACATGACTAAGGTCACCCAGGTAGTGACTGCAGTGAGATTTGAACCTGGTTCTTTTGATTCTAAATCCAATGCTCCTTCTACCCCACAAGGATGCTCCATAAGTGTGTTTGGAATTGAATTGAGGGAAACTAAGGTCTCAGGAGGTGTTGGACTGGGAGAAGGAACACCATGGAGTCTCCCAGGTCCCAGGGCACCAGGTGACAGGGTGGACTTGAAGTCAGGAAAGTCTGAGTTCAAATCCTATCTAAGCCCCTTCCTAGCTGTACTAACTATGGGCAAGTCAATCAATCTCCCTTAGCCTCAGTTGCCTCACTGGTAAAACAAGGATAAGAATAATACCTACCTCATGGGGTTATGAGAATCAGATGAGATCCTGCCTGTAAAGTGCTTCACAAACCTAAAAGTGCTATAGAAATGCTAGCTACTTGTTTACTGTTATTCCTGGCTCAGTCGCACAAGTAGGGGTGGAGAAAGCCTTCCACTCCCACTACGCACCTTGATAACAGATCCAGAAGGGACCTTGGAGATAGCCTAGTCTACTCACTTCCTTTTACAAACAAGGAAACTGAGACCCGAGTGACTAGTGAGTAGCAGACTTTGCTGCGCTGTGATGTCATCGCTGGAAGGTGATCTCAGGCGTCATTCAGTTCACCCTTTTCATTTCATAGACAAGAAAACTGAGATCCAGAGAGGGCATGGGACTAATCCGTATAAATAGTGGTGAGTCATAGAGCTGGAATCTGAACTCAGATACTCTGACCCCAAATCCAGAGTTCTCCATGTCATTCTGTTCTCCTTTTTATTTTCAAGTATTAAGGCATCACTGGGGGCATGGGGCTGAGAGAGGAAAAGGAGAAAGGCCAGGATCGCCGAGGCAGCGGGTGAGGGCCGAAAGGGCAGCGGAGCCTCCAGAGTCCTGCCTGGGCTGAGGGTGTGGCGGCCGGTGCCTAGGCCCTGTGTTGACTCCCAGCGAGGCTGGGCAGCGGCCCCACCCCCACCCCGTGGCTGCACCCAGGTTAGAAGGGAGGGTGAGGTAGCTGTGAGATTGACTGGGTCGGGGTCAGGGTGGGAGGGGGAAGCCTCACACCCCCAGGTTCCTCCCTGCCTCCACAAGGTCTCTCGGCTGGCAGGAGGGATGGCTCACATCACTATACAGCACTGACACGTCTGCTTGGAGCCACTGGCCTGCTCGCTGTCGGGTTGGGGCTCAGGCCGTTGGGCAGGTGCGTAGGTGGGCACGGGGCGGCTAGCCGGGTTCACAGTGCGTGTGGCCGGCTGCAGCAGGGGCTGGCGTTCTGCAGGCCCTGCTTCAGGGGCTGGGAGCTGCTCCAGGGATGGGGCTGGAGGCTGGGGCTCACCCGGGGCTGATGTGGCCTCTTCAGCCTGTGGTTCTGGTCCTGCCTCAGGCTGGGTAACTTGCTTCATCTCCTGTTCCTGCTTCTCTGTCTCCTCAGAGTCGGGCCCCTTCTCTTCTGGACCCTTCTCTGCTGGCATTTCCTTTTCTACCCCTCCTTCCCTCTCCTTTTCCTCCTCCTCCTTTGACCCTGGCTGTTCTCCCTCTTCTTCCTCTTCTCCTCCAAGCAGTTTCTCTCCCCCTGCTTTCTCCTCTGCCTCCAGCTGTTTCTCTCCCCCTGCTTTCTCCCCTCCCTCCAGCTGTTCTTTTCCCTCTCCTTCCTTTTCTTCCCCTAGTTGTTCCTCATCCTCTTTTACTTCCTCTGCTCCTACATGTACCTCTCTCCGTCCACCCTTCTGAAAGACTTCCTCGGTCTCACCTTCTGACCCCAGCTTCTTTGTCTCCAAATGCTTTTCTTCCCCTCCTTTCTCTGTTCCCAGATGTCCTTTCTCCCCTTCCTCCTCTCCTCCGTGCTGCAAACTTTCCCCTGCCTCACCCTCTTTTGATTCCTTGGCGGTTCCTTCTGATTCCTCGACTAGTACCTCCTCCCAGTCTTCAGTGATAAGTACCCTCTCCACCCAGATGAAGGAGCCCTCTCCTTGGTCTCCCAACTCAGGACTCCCCCCAGGGCCGTGCTCTTTGGACTCTAGCCCTGAGCTAGCAGGGCTGCCTGCTGCTGCTTCCTCTCTAGCCATCCCCTCTGAGTCCCCCATGTCACTGCCATTAGTTCCCCCCAGTCCCTCCCACACAACCTCAACAATGCCCCTGTCTTTGGTCACCCACTCAGGAAGTTCTGGGGCTTCCACCATTGAACGGTTCTTCATTGCCTCTAGAACCATTTCCTCCACCTCCTGGACTCTCCTGTCCTTGGTCATCCATTCAGGCAGCTCTGGGTCTCTTGTTACCTGGTGGTCCCCTATCACCTCTAGGACTATCTCTTCAACCTCCTGTTCTTTTACCTTCCCCCTTTCTGTACATGTGGGGGCCTCCCTGGCACTTTCCTCTAGGAACCTCAGCCCATCCCACTCTACCTTTACTATGCCTGGTCCCAGGACTGTTCCCCTAGAGCTGTCCACTCCATCCCCAGCACCTGGACCCCTGTCTTCTGCTGCGTCCACCTGATTCTGGGTCAGCTCCAGCTCCACAGAGACTGGTGCTGGGCATGGACCATTGACCTCGACGGTATCTGCTGTGGACACCTCCTCTTCCTTTGGCGCTTGAGAAGTTGTGGCTGCCTCTCCCCCCAGCTCCTTGGGGATCCTTGAGGTAGAGGGATCAGGCATGGAGACCGCTGGCATAAGAGGTAGGGAGGCTCGTTTTTCAAGATCTTCCTTGCCTAGGAGCAGAAAAGGGGAAGACCTAAAGGGTGAGTCAGGTTCATGATATCTGCTCCTGCCTTCCACAGAGTCTTGGGAAAGGGCTTCAGAAGGCATCTAGCCCAAGCTGTGCCTGAATAAGGGGGCAGCTAGGTGGTACAGTAGACAGAGTACTGGCCCTGGAGTCAGGAGGACCTCAGACACATAATACGAACTAGCTGTGTGACCCTGAGCAAGTCACTTAACCCTGAATGCCTCGCCAAAAAAAAAAAAAAATCCCTTTAAAACCTGCTTGACAAGTAAATAGTCATCAGTCTCTGCTTAAGGACTTTCAGCAATGGGGAGCTCATTTTCTTCTGGGAGGACCTAGTTCACTTTGGACAGCTCCAATTGTTAGGAAGTTGTTGGTTTTTATTTTTTTCTTCTTCTTCTAACCTTCCTGCAACCTCCCATATTGCTTCTAGTTTTGCCCTTTGGAGCCGAGCAGAGCAAGTCTGATCCCTGTTATATAGAACAGTTCTTTAAGAGTTTGAAAACAGCACTCATTTTCCCTTAAAGTCTTTTCTGGGATAAGTGTCTCCAATTCCTCCGATCAGCCCTCGTATGGCACAGTCTCCAGCCCTCTTCCCCATCCTACTTATCCTCTTTGGGTTTATCCTCTAGTTTGCTGTTGCCCTTCCATAAATGGGATGCCCAGGATTAATACAGTATGTCAGGTGTAGTCTGACCAGGATAAAGGCAAGGGATACCAGAAGAAAAGACCAGGAGAACACTTGCCTCTCTCATTCTGGATCTAAGCCTCAATTAATGCAACCTAAGATGACATGAACATTTTTGGCTTTAGAGCCTGCTTCTCTGTTGACTCACAGTGTGCTTATAGGTCCACTAATAACCCCAGAGCCTGCCCACCCCGCAATTACCGCGTGGAAACTTCTTTTGGGTGGCAGAAAGAGAATTATACCTGACATCCTAGAGATCTGAGTTCAAATTCTGACTCTGACTTACTGCTAGGGGGTGTGACCTTGGATAAGTCACCTCTCTAAGCCTTGGTTTATTCATCTTCTTTAAAATGAAAATAATAATAGTCACACTATTTGCCTCACAAGATTGTTGTGAAGAAAACATTTTGTAACTCTAAATAGTGCCATATGTGGGGGTCATATAGTTCTTGTGGTGTGCTGGAGCCATCTTAAACTGTCTTGAGAGAGCTGGTTGTTAAATTTTCAGTGTGAGCATTTGCAACTTGGAAATAGGCAAATACTATAAATCAGGGCTTGATTTATTGTTTTGTTGATTGTCTAGGCTTAGGAAAGTGATTGAGCTCATGTTAATAATGCAGATTAAATTTAAAAGTGTGTTCTGAGAATTTTTTTCTGGAAGCCAGTTGTTAAATATTTACCAATACTCTATGTGTTAGCTATTATTAGCCAAGTCTTGACATTTTTGATTTTTTTTTAGTTTTCTTTTAGTTGATTTTTTTAAATCCACATATAGGATTTTACATTTTTCTTTATTAAATTCCATTTTATTAGAACAAACTCATCCTTCTAGCCTCTTGAAATCTTTTGGGATTTCAACTATGTTTGCTGTCCTTCTCAGCTTAGCATTATATGCAAATTTGACAAATATACTATTAGTGCCTTTATCCAATTTACGATTAAAAATGCTGAATGCGCTTTTTAGGTGATGGACAGATCTGAGGGAACTCTGAGGCCGCTCATCAGGGGATGAAACCCAGAGCGGCTCCCCAAAAAAGAGGCATGAAGACACTTACCTTCAGGGCCTGGCTCCATGGCAGTCTGAGAGAGAGATCGGGATACCTAAAGGGAGACACATAGAACTCTGTAGTGAAACTTGGTCTCTGCCCCGGTTCCTCCTTCCTTCTCATTCTGGATCTCATCTCCTCTCACTTAAACCAGTAGTAACTGCCCCTTAATTCATCTCTCTCCGGTTTCTTCCCTTCCAATTCTTCCTATTGAAACCACTAGGCTCATCTTGCTAGAGCCCCATTTTGATCATGACTCTCTTTCATGGCTCCCCACTGCATTTGAGATAAAATTCAAATGTCACATCCTGGCGTTCAAGGACCCCCATCATCTGGGTTCAACCTATCTTTCCAGTATCCCTCCCTGATTTCATACACTAAACTTCTGGTCCAAACACACTGGTTTTGGTGTTCTCTCTAACTTACCAAGTGTCTTTGATCTGTAGAGTCAGAGTGAGAGATAGAAAGACAGACAGAGAGAGAGACACACACACATACAGAGACAGACAGACAGACATTCAGAGAGAGAGAGAGAGAGAGAGAGAGAGAGCGCTTAGATGTCTTAGATGTCATCTAACCTAACTTCTTCGTTTTATAGATAAAGAAACTGAAATCCAGAGAAAGGATTGTCCAAGGCCACACAGATTATGAATGGCAGTCAGGACTTGAACTCAGGTCCTCAGTCTCTGAGTCCTGGACTCTTTATACTTTCTTTCTGCCTTATTACTTCTGCCTATCCAAATTAAGGACTTAGAACCTTAAAGATGTCTTAAAGATCAAACCCTCTCCACCTTCCAAGAACCATCTTAAGTCCCAGCTTTCTTTCTATCCCTAGCACTTAGTATAGTGCTTGGTACATAGTTGAGCCTTAATAGATGCTTGTTAGCTGGCCAGCTCTTCAAGACTCAGCCCAAGCGTGGTCTCCCACACGACGACATTCTTATTCCCCTCGGTGCTAGTGCTCTCAGACCTACCTTGTTTTCATTTTGTCAATATTCGTAGGCACTTATATCTGTACCTGTTGTTCCCCAAATCAGGTTGCAAGTTTCATGAGGGCACAGATAATTTTGTCTTTTCATCTCCAGCACTTAGCCCTGTGCTTGGCACCTAGTAGACACTCAATAAAGGCTTGTCGATTGAGTGCCCATGATCTTCCCTGTCCTACACAATGACCTGTCTGTTCTCTGACTCCTATAGCCCTTCCTGAATCTCTTGCTAATCTGACCTGTGCCTGAGGACATTGGCTAGACTTTTCATCAGTCCATAGGACCTAGAGCTGGAGGGGATTTTTGTGGTCAGTGCCATGGAATCTGTTTGAAGAGACCTCCAGAGAGTCAAGTCAACAAGCATTTACTAAGTGCTTACTCTGTTCCAGGCAGTGCATCACACAATAGGGATGCAACAAAAGACAAAAATACAGTTCTTTCCCTCAAGGAGCTCACATTAGCTTACCTCCAAACAACTATGTACACACAAAATCTATAGCTAGCATTTATATAGCACTTTAAGGTTTGCAAAGCACTTTTATGCATGTTAACTCATTTGATCCTTACAAGTCTGAAAGGTGCTTTTATTATCCCCATTTTACAGATGAGAAAAATGAAGCTGGAAGGGGTTAAGTGACTTGCTGAAGTCACACAGCTAGTAATTGTGTGAGGCAAGAGTCAAACTCAGGTTTTCCTGACTCATATTCCTGCACTCAATCCACTGAGAGACCTCACTGTCCCGTATATACCCAATATATAGGGTAAATTGGAGGTAATCTCAGAGGGAAAGCACTAACATTGAGAGAGATGGGGAAAGACTTTTTTTTTTTTTTTTAGACTTTTTGAAGAAGGTGGAATTTTGCCTGAGACTTGAATGAAGCCTGGAGGTATAGGGACAAGTAGCAAGAGCATTCTGGGCATACTTTAATTGGCAATTAAAAAGTCATTGGTCACTTTAGAGAAAGCACTTTCAGTTGAATGAGGAAATCAGAAGCCAGACTGCAGAGTTTAGAAGAGAATGAGAGGAGAGGAAGTGGAGCCACTAATTGTGGACAGCTTTCTTTAGTTTAGCCATGGAAGGAAGGAGAGATATGAGAAGGGATGGGCACATCAAGCTGAGGGCTTTTTAAGGATGGAGGAGAACTTGGTGTATTTGTAGTTGGCAGGGAAGCAACTAGTAGACAGGGAAAGACTGAAGATTAGTGAAGGACTGGGAGTGATAGGGGGGAATTCTGCTGTAGAAGATAGGATGTACTGAAATCACTTGTGCCTTGGAAAGGAGAAAGGTGATCTCTTCATGTGAGAAAGGGATGAAGGAGGAGAGAATGGGGGAAGATGGCCAAGTGATGTGAGATGAGGAGGGGAGAATAGGCAGCTCTGACTAGGAATCCCTTCTATATCATCTCTAAAAAATAGTCATTCAGTCTTTGAAGATCCCTAGTAAGTGTCAATCTGCTTCTCTGAGGCAGCTCAGTTCACTTCTAAATAACTGATTGCTAGGAAAGTTTTTCCTGACATTTGAGCTGAAATCTGCCTCTCTACAATCTTCTCCCATCGTGCTTACCTCTGTCTTCTAGGGCTAAATCAGAACAAGTCTAATCCCTTCTCCATGTGACCAACCACCTTTCAAGTACTTGAAGACCCCATATCTGCAAGGAGATTCTGGTGCCAGTGCAACTAGAAAGCTAATTGTTAAATTTTCACCATGAACATTTGCACCTCAGAAATGGTCAAATGTTACAAATCAGGGATTGATTTATTGTTTTGTTGATTTCTAGTCTCAAGAAAATGATGGAGAAATGTTAATAATTCAGATTAAATTTGTAGGTAGTGCCTATGTACATGTATATATGTGTATATGTATACACACACACACACACACACACACACACACACACACACACGAACATACTGGTTGTTAAACACCATACAGCACATCACTTAAGTCTGTTGTTCTCCAGGGTAAACATCCCTGTTCTTTCAAGCAGTCTTTATATTGTATTATCTTGGGGCCCCTTCACCGTCTTGGTTGCTCTTCTCTGGGTGATATAGAGCTTATTAATGACCTTCCTAAAATTCATTACTCAGAACTGAAACACTGTAGTCTGAACAGGGCAGAGTAGAGTAGGACTATCTTGTTCCTAGACACTCTTGTCTCTCTTGGTGCGACTTACATCAATTACATCACATTACATCAGCTCTTTTGGTGGCTGGACCTCCCTATTGACTAGTCTTTACCTTGCCATGTGCTAAAGCCTCTAGATTTTTTTTTCCTGATAAACTATTATCCTGCTTCCCTGCTTCCTCTATCTTGTTCTTTTGAAGTTGATTTTTTGAACCCAAGTGCAAGATTTTATATTTATCTCTCCCCAACTTTCTAGCTCAGTTAGATCTTTGTGGTTCCTGATCATCCCATGAATTTTACAGGTTGGGAATCTGAGGCTAAGAGAGGGGAAACAATTTGCCTAAAGTCACACAGCTACTGGTGGAAGAATCAAATACAGTGCTCTTTCCACTCTACCTGTTCACTACTGTTCAAAGGGTACAGTCTAGTAGACACCCGGGATATTTTACCCCTTTCCTCTTCCCTCAAAAGGATAGACATATTTTATACCCTGTTCCTTCTCACCTGTAGGCGCCAGGTGGGCCAGGCAGAAGTCTTGTGCTGGGCACCCGTTGATGCACTCTGTAGTAACTGGAGTTGTGACTGGAGTCTGGGGAAGAGGTTGCTGCTGGAAGCCAGGAATCTGGTTTCCCAACTTCCACCCCTCCGACAAATGGGACCCAAGTGTCCAGCCTCCCCTCCCAGCATCCCAGGTCCAGGCCTCAGATGGCCTGCCTTCATAGGCTCGTGAATGGCCCTGAGAAGTCATCCAATCCAACTATTCATTTTGAAGATGAGGACACTGAGGCAAAGGGAAGGGGAGGGTAAGGAAGGAAAAGGAAAGGAATGGAAGGGTAGGAGTGGAAAGGGAAGGAAAGGGGAAAGGGGAGGAAAAGGAAGGGAAGAGGAGAGAAGGAAAAGGGAAGGGAAGAGAAGGGAAGGGTAAGGGACAGGAGGGAAGGGAAGGAAAAGAAAAGGAAAGGGACTTGCGTAAGGTAGTCAGTGGCAAAGCTGGCTCCCAGCCCACATCCTCTAATTACTTTCAGAATATTTCTGATCTGCCATAGAAAGGGTCAGGGCCCAGTTGTGAACAGAAACCCAAAGGCCAGATGGGCAATTAATTACAGAGCCCTCCGCCCCCCCCCCCCCAGCCCCTTACGTGAACAGACTGTCTTCCAAGCGTTGGATTCTGGCCTGGGCCTGGCCCTGAGGGGAATGGGGATCCGCCTCTGGCTCAGCGCCCTCAGGTGCCTCAGCTGTCCCATCCATCAGCCATCGCTCCCGCAGGGACTTCCTCTTGGGGTAGGGCAAGGAGGAAGGTGAGATCCCAGCCAAACACTGGACAAGCCACCCCACCCTCCCAGGCTGGGACAGATTACCCCCACCCACAGACCCTTCCCCAATTCCCCCACCCTAGACCGGGACACACCTCCTGTCCTACTTCCCCCTCCCACAGAGACAGCCCTTTTTCTTTTGCTCCCACCACGGATGCCCTCCCTCATTGACCCCGCTAAAGTAGAGACATTCCACTATTGCCCTCCTTCACGGGATGTCCTCAGACTGGCATCATCAGGACTGTCCCCACCTTTAGTCGCTGCACTTTTAATTTTTCTTCCTCTAGCTCCCTCCGCGCCCCGCAGATCTGTTCTTGAAGACGCCGCTTCTCCTGGTCAGAGCGAAGCAAGTCGGGGCTGTGGCGGCCCAGCGAAGTCCAGCCCTGCCCAGCCCAGTCTAGCCCATCTCAGCCCCGTGGAGCCTAGCAGAGCCCAGCCTGGCCAAACCAGCGGAGACAGGACAAGCGATTGCTCCAGCCTGCGCCTCCCTCTCGGGCTCCCTCCCTCTCCCTCTGCCTTTGACGGGCTCCCCTGGGATGCCTGGAACCGAGATGCCTAGAGCTGAGGGCGAGGGAGGAGCAGGGCAGGGTACAGGGAAGTCCTACTCGGGTTCTGGGAAGAGGTGGAGTGGGGAAAGACCCCCACCCCCTATCCTCTACTGTCTGGAGCTGAGACCTGCTGTGGGTGCGGGGAAAGAGGGGGTGGTCTGGGAGGCGCTGACTCAGCAGTTCTAGGGAGGGCGGGGGTGAGGGACAGGGGAAGGGGTGGTGCTGGCCGCGCCCCGGGGCCGGATCCTGCGGCTCTCTGCCAGAGGCGGGAGACTGAGACGATGGAAACGGGGGATGGGGGACAGGAGGGTGTGGGGATGAAGAAAAGGAGAGAATGAGGAGCAGAGAACTGGGCGAAATGCAGCTCAGGGGATGGCGAGATCAGGGACGGGTCAGGGAAAAGGAAATATGGTGATGAGCACAGGAGGATGGAGAGTAGGGAGTGGCGAGATTGTGAATAGGTCCTTCAGAGAAGAAATGGGGACAGAGAGATGGAGAGCACAGAAACGGGGCGGGGGGAATGAACAAAGTAGGGTATAGATGGATGGGGGACTGGGCGACAGGATGAGGAGGATTTGAGAGGACGGGCGAATCAAGGTGTGGGAATATGGGAGTTTGGGTGTCAGGATGGAGAGACACGATTAGGACAAGGTATGAGATGGATTTGGGAGGAAAGGAAACAGGAGGTGAGGAACTGGGGACAGGGAACCTGAAAGTATGAAATTGGAGGATCAAGCAATGGAGACACAGGATACTGGGGGGACAGGAAAAAGAAATAGGAAGTTGGAAGACAGGAGATGGAGGTTTGGGGATTTGGGAGGTGTAGGGCACTTTGGGTACGGAGGCACTGCTCTCTCACTCACTCCGGAGGTGAGTCCGTTCAGCCTCAGCCCGCTCCCCCAGGAAGGGGTGGGGAGCAGAGCCCCGTGGAATGGGGATGGGACGCGTGCAGAGGCTGCAGCCCCGGGCTCAGGGCTGGCGGTAGGTTTCGCTGAGGGGAGCAGAGAGCGGGGTTCGAGCGGTCCCCGAAGCCTTCGGGAGGAACCAGAGAGCGTACGGTCACTTACAGCAATGACCTCCAGCCGCTGACGGTAGAGGGCGCTCTCAACCATGGGCCTGCAAAGAGATACGGAGAAAGTAGGGGCGAGGCTGGGGGAAAGTGGGGAGGAGACCGGAGGTGAAAGATGCGAGAGTTTCATGCTCTCAATCCCTACCCTTTCCCCGTAGCTGAATGACATCACTCCTGAGTCCTGGCCCTGCTCAGGGTGCCCAGGAACTAGCCAAGGTCGCCTTGACTGATTTCCCCTCCCTGGCCAATGAGTGTCTTTGGAACTTGAGAATGGAGATCTGAGGTGTCGATCTCTAACCCTGGTCAGAGCTCCAGGCGGGAAGGGCAACACATAGTACAAAGAGCATAGGATTTGGGGGGGGGAAGGTCACAAAACCTAGACCCAAATCCCTGCTCTGATACAGGGTGTGATGTTGAGCAATTTACTTAAACTTTTTAGGCATCAGTTTTTTCCTTTAAAAAAAAATGAAGAAATATCAACGAACCACAAAAACAAACCATATTCACTACCAATAAGAAAAATGCAAAGCAAAAGAACTCTGAACTTTCATTTCACACCTAATTGTCAAAGAAAACAAAAGATGGAAATAGTTAAGGTTAGAGGGGTTGTGTGGAAATACAGGCGTGCTGGATACATTGTTGGTGGAGCTGTGAAGTGGTCTGGCCAGTTAGGAAAAGGCAATCTGGAAATATTGTAAGAAAGTGACCAGAATGTCTACACCTTGGACCCAGAGATTGCACTATTAGGTATATACCCCAAAGAGATCAATAACAAAAAGAATGGCCCCATTGACATAAAAATGTTTATAGGAGCAGTTTTTGTAGGATAGCAAAGGTTTGGAAACAAAGTAGATGTCCGTGGTTTGGAGAATGGTTAGACAAATGGTGGTACACAATGCTAAGAGAATGTTAGCATGCTGTAAGAAATTATGATTATGATATATACAATGACTAAAAGCATATTAATGAAAAGATCAGCAACAGAACCACTGAAATTAAATGCAATGAAATTAGCCAAGCTTGGCTAAAAAAAAGAGATATGAGAATGTATCTCACTCTCTTCTTCACATCTCTTGTGTATGTCCTGTCTCTTCACTCCCACAACCATCACTCTGGTACAGGCTTCTAATGGGGGCTACTACAATAGCCTTGGTCTTCCTGCAGCAAGTCTCCCTGCTCCAAGCCATCCTCCACTCAGTTGCCAGAGTGATTTTCCTAAAGCACTTTGTTGTTCAGTTGTGTCTGATTCTTCATGACAAAGATACTGGAGTGGTTTGCCATTTCCTTCTCTAACTCATTTTACAGCTGAGGAAACTGAGTCAAAAGGGGTTAAATGACTTAGCTAGAGTCACACAACTAGTAAATGTCTGAGGCTGGGTTTGAACTCATGAAGATGAGTCTTCCTGACTCCAGGCCTGCCACTCTATCCGCTGTGCCACCTAGCTGCCCATCTATACATTAAATTCCAGAGGCTCCCTGTTACCTTCAGGATCAAACATAGAGTCCTCTGACATTTAAAGCTCTTCCCAATCTGGCCCCTTCCTATATTTCTAGACTTCTTCCACTTTACTTCCCTCCACATACGCTATAATACAGCTACGTAGGCCTTCGTGCTCTTCTCTCCACAATACACTCCATCTCCTGACCCTCTACCTTCTTATTTGTTGTATCGTGAGTCTAGAGTGACCTTCCTCCTACCTCTGGCTCCTAACTTCCCTGGCTTCCTTTAAGGCACAGCTTCAATCTCACTTTCTGTGGTAGGCTTTTTCTGATCCTCCCAGTTACAAGGGCATTCTTCCTTGAAATTATATTTCAAGACTAGACATAGATCAAAATCTCACACCATATACCAAAACAAAGTCAAAATGCGTTCATGATTTAGATATAAAGGCTGATACTATAAGTAAACTGGGAGAGCAAGGAATAGTTTCCCTAGCAGATTTATGGAGAACAGAAGAATTCATGACCAAACAGGAGATAGAGAACATTATGAAAAGCAAAATGGATAACTTTGATTACATTAAATTGAAAAGTTTTTTTGCACAAAGCCAATGCAACCAAGATTAGAAGGAAAGTAGAAAATTGGGAAATAATTTTTACAACCAGTCTCTCTGATAAGGGCCTCATTTCTAAAATATATAGAGAATTAAGTCAAATTTATAAGAATACAAGTCATTCCCCAATTGATAAATGGTCAAAGGATATGAACAGGCAGTTCTCAGATGAAGAAATTAAAGCCGTCTATAGTCATATGAAAAAAATGCTCTAAATCACTATTGATTAGAGAAATACAAATCAAAACAACTCTGAGGTACCACATCACACCTATCAGATTGGCCAATATGACAAAACAGGAAAATGATAAATGTTGGAGAAGATGTGGGAAAATTGGAACACTAATGCATTGTTGGTGGAGTTGTGAAATGATCCAACCGTTTTGGAGAGCAATTTGGAACTATGCTCAAAGGGCTATAAAATGTGCATATCCTTTGACCCAGCAATAGCACTTCTAGGGCTATATCCCAGAGGGATCATACAAATGGGAAAAGGACCCACATGTACAAAAATATTTATAGCAACTCTTTTTGTGGTAGCAAAGAATTGGAAATTGAGAGGAGGATGCCCATCAATTGGGGAATGGCTGAACAAGTTGTGGTATGTGAATGTAATGGAATACTATTGTGCTATAAGAAATGATGAACAGGATGACTTCAGAAAAACCTGGAAAGATTTGTATGGTCTGATGCTGGGTGAAGGGAGCAGAACCAGGAGAATGTTGTACACAATAACAGCCACATTGTGCGATGACTAGTATTGATAAACTTAACCCTTCTCAAGCAGCTAAGACATCTCCAAAGGTGTCGTGATAGAAAATGCTATCCACAAAGAAGAAAGAACTATGGAGTTTGAATGTGTTTTGTAGTGTTTTATTTCCTTTTTCTGGTGGTTCCTCCTATTGGTTCTAATTCTTGCTTACAACATCACTAATGTGAAAATACGTTTAATAGGAATGTATATGTATAGCCTATATCAGATTGCATGCTGTCTTGGGGAGGGAGGGGGAGAAAAATTTAAAACTCAAAAGCTTATGGAAGTGATTGTTGATAATTCAAAATAAATTAATAAAAAATTTAAAAAAGAAATCATATTTCATATATCTCTCTCTTTCACCTGTGTATAATATACCTAGTAATTTACATGTTGTCTCCCCCATTAGAATGTGAGCTCCTTGAGAGCCTTCCTTTCCATCATTTACCAAACTGCCTGGTACACAGTAAGTGCTTAATAAATGCTTATTTCCTGATTAACTGACAAAAAAAGGAAGGAATTCCAAGAAAGTTGGAAAGACTTATTTGTACTGATGCAGAGCAGAGCAAACAAAACCAACAGAACAACATACACAATGCCCACAATGATGAAAAGGAAAGGAATTAGAAGACATCAGAACTTAGATCAATGAAATGACCAAATCTTGACTCCAGCGACCTGATGATGAAACATCCATCCCTCTGTTGGGTAAAAAGGTGCAGAATAGGGCATATGGCATCAGATATGATTAATATTTATTTTGCCTAAATATACTTATTTGTTACAAAGGACGGTTTTATTAGAGAGGGGGAGAGTTTTAGGACTCATTTTTAAAAAAAATTTTATTTTCTTGGAGGCAATCGGGATTAAGTGACTTGCCCAGGGTCAAACAGCTAGTCAGTGTCTAAGGTAAGATTTGAACTCAGGTCCTCCTGACCCCAGGGCACTGTGTCACCTAACTGCCTTGTCTTTTTTTTTTTTTTTAAGGAACAATAAAACATTAATAAAATAAAACAAGCATGGTTGTTTGATTTCTTCTCCATTTCCTCTGCCCGTATCATCATCCATGTCCCATCTTAACCATTGATGTCCTTCAAGGATCTGTCCTGGTTCCTACTCTTTCCTCTCTCTATCCCCTCTCAGTGATTCCATCACCCCGCATGGGTTCAATTAACTCTATACTGATGACTCCCAGATTCATATATCCAACGTTAGTCTCTCACCTAAGTTCCAGTCTCACATACCAACTGCCTGAAGGACACCTCCACCTAGATGTCCCACAGGCATTTCAAACATATACAAAATACACAAAAGAAACTCATTCTCTTCCCCCCTAAGCCTGCCTCCTGCCCTGTTTCCACTGAGGCTACCCCCTCCCCCAAGTTGCTCAGATTCACAACTTCAGTAGCATCCCTGACTCTTCCTTCCTGCCTCATCCTCCTTCAACAATTAGTTGCCAAATCTTGTTGCTACTTCCACAACTTCTCTCATATCTGTCAAAGTCTTTTCACTTCCATGACTAGTTCAGGCCTTCATCACTTTTCACCTAGGCTATTGCAACAGCCTCCTAATTGGACTTGCAGCTTCCAGTATGTCCACACAGCAACAGAATAACCATTAATTATGTGCCACAGTGGATATCACACAGGACCTGGAGTTAGGAAGTTCTGAGTTCAAATCCAGTCTCAGATACTTACTAGCTCTGCGATGCCAGGCAAATCACAACCTCATCTGTAAATGAGGATAATAATAGCACCTGATTCTCAAGGTTGTTTTGAGGATCAAATGAGGTAATATTTCTAAAGCACTTCAAAGACCTTAAAGCACTATATAAATGCTTATTATTATTATTGTTATAGTATACTGAGGCTCAAATTTGACCAGGACATTTCTCTTTTCCAGTCTTCTCAGTGGCTCCCTATTGCCTCTAGGATAAAATACAAACATTTGAGTCTGACATTTAAAACCTTTTATAATTTTTCCCGCAGATTACATTTCCAGGCTTATTTCTGATTATTGCCTTTCACTCACTTTAAGTTTTAGCCAAACTGGCCTAATGATCATTACTGTTACATGATGTTCTCCCTCCATGCTTGGGGCCACTGCTCAGCCTGTCCCAAATGCCTGAAAGGCATTCCCTCTTTAACATCATCTTTTAAAATCTCAACCTTCCTTCAAGGCTCAACTCATGACTGACCTCCTACGGGAAACCCAAAAGTCAAGCAGTACAGTTTCTCTTTGGTGTGAGGAAATGGGGTACAGTGGACAAAACACTGGATATGAAATAAGAGGGCCTTTGTTCGAATCCTGATTCTCTTACTTACTACCTCTGTATTGCTGGATAGGTCCCTTAACTTCTCTGGGCTTCAGGTCCCTCATTTAAAAAAAAAAAAAGAGGAGGTTGGACCAGACAGGGCCCATAACACTTCTGAGAGTTGGCCAAATCAGATTAAAATATAATTGGAAAATATTGAACAAAATGCAGAAAAATACAATGCAACATAGATAATGTTAATTTGTGGTTTTCTAAGTCAATATGTAACCTTCAAGGATCCTTATGTACTACCATTCAATGGTCCCAGTTTCCATTTGAATTTGACATTTTTGGATTAGATGACCCCTGAGATGATAGAAATCTCTCTCTCTCTCTCTCTCTTTTTTTTTAAAGGCAATTGGGGTTAAGTGACTTGCCCAGGGTCACACAGCTAGTAAGTGTCAAGTGTTTGGTCTGAGGCTAGATTTGAACTCAGGTCCTCCTGACTTCAGGGGCCAGTGCTCTATCCACTGTGCCACCTAGCTGTCCCAATCCTTCCATCTCTTAATCTGGGTTCCTAGGATCCTTCCTCCTCAACATGTACACACTTTTCTTTTTACTTCCAGCTAAAATCTCACCTTCTACAGGACAGCTTTCCAGATCCCCTTCAAGCTAGTGCCTTCTCTCTGCTTATTATTTCTAATTTATTCAGTGTAGAGCTTATTTGTTCATAGTTTGTAGGTTGTCTCCCCCATTAGACTATGAGTTCCTTGAAGGCCGGGACTGCCTTTTGCCTCTCTTTGTATCCCAAGCTCTTAACAGAGTACCTGGCACATAGTAGTGCTTCATAAATGTTTCTTGACTGACTGACTGACTGATTTATTTGTACCCCTCCAGGAGAATGTAAGCAATCTCTTTGAGGTCAGGGACTGTTTTTCATTTTGGTGCCCAACACAGCGACCTGCACCTAGTAGTTGCTTAGATGAAAGTGTGTTGGATCACTACAAGGCTCATTCTGGCTATAAACCCTCTAATTGGAGAATATTGGAGTCGGAAAAATCTTTAGAGATAATTTAGTCCAATTCTCTAATTTCACAGGTAAAGAAACTGAGGTCAGGAGGTGAATTCACGAAGGTAACATGGCCAGTAAAT